CGCTTCTACCCTTGGGGGTTGGAGCAGAGTCTGGACCTAGCCAGAGAGGGTGGTCACCAAAGGCATTGGGTTTACAGTGACATGGGTGTGACACACACAACACATACAACAGTGGCCTGGGACACAGGTATAGCCTAAAGCCCACCACTTAGAACTTACAAGCCACCAGCTGAGAATCTAATGTCAGAAATTCCCATTCCCAGGGTCAGGTGTGACTCAGTAAAGAGAACAGTTAGTCGGTTGGTCGGTGGATCGGTGTGCATGAGGTTCTGGGTTCCATCCCCAGCCCTGCATGACCTGCAGTGACCACTGGCTGGGTCATCTAGCCATGGGACCAACTGCCCTGTTCCTGTTGCCTCCCACGCTCTGAGACCCTGTGACTTGACCCAGCCCCCACAGGGAGTTGGGGGTGTAGAGTACAGTGGAGTGTGAAACGCTTGAATGCACCTGTTCCCAACTGAACGTCCTGGTTTTGTCTTACAGGGGCCCCCTCATAAATGTGCCTTAATTTTCGCAGATAACAGTGGAATAGACATCATTTTGGGAGTCTTCCCCTTTGTCAGGGAGCTACTCTTTAGAGGGACAGAGGTGAGTGAAGAGGCTGGGTGGGCGGGACCCTTCCCCTGGGCTTCTCCACTGCTGGTGGGGTTGGCGTTGCTGTGGGCTTCTGGCTGTGGTCAGAGCTCCTACATTTGTGGCAGGTGAGTGCAGGTGAGGCCAAGGAGCACCTGGGCCTGTTGGGTGTGGGCTGTAGCTTAAGGCCTGGGTTCTCTGCTTCCTGTTTCCTGGAAAGGCATTTACCAGAAGCTTGGGAATACATGAGAGGTTATCCTGACCCAGGAGGCAGGCTGAGGATGGGATGGGTGGGAGGCACTTAAGCACCTTCTGAGCACAGCCCTGCCTCTCTCAGAAGCCACAGAGCCCTGAGATTGTTTGGGGCCCTGCTGCCCAGCAGTAGGCTGCTGCTTGGAGCCTGCCGGGGCAGCTGTGGTGAGTTTGGGCCACATCAGTAACAGCCCAGGTTCTAAAGAGCTGCTGCTCCCTCCCCCCACCATAGGTCATCTTGGCATGCAACTCAGGCCCTGCCCTGAACGACGTGACCTACAGTGAGTCTCTCATTGTGGCAGAACGCATTGCAGCCATGGACCCCATCATCTGGTAGGTTCTGGCTACCCCCGTTGAGCCAGGCAGGGGTTGGGCCTAACCGGTACTAGGAGGTATGCAAAGGATTCCCGAGGAGGGGTCAGTGTCAGAGGGCCTTGACTGGGCCCTGACCACATGCTTTTCTACAGCACAGCGCTCAGAGAAGATAGGCTACTGCTGGTGCAGACCGGTTCCAGCTCCCCATGCCTAGATCTCAGGTAACCCAGCCTGCCTTCCTCCTGCTCTGCAAGGCACTAAAACCAGCCATGCTTCTGCTTGCCCTAATTATGACCCATGTAGCCATGTCTTTCTGTGGCCTGTATGGCTGATGGGAAACTGACCCAGGCTGTCTGCTACAGGACCATCCTGTAGCAAGGAGCTATCCCATTATCCCATGGGCACTGACTCACTTATCATTTGCTGTGTGTGTGTGTGTGTGTGTGTGTGTGTGTGTGTGTGTACACAATCTCTCACACCACAGCTTGTGTAGAGCTCGGACAACTCACAAGGGTTGGTTTTGCCTTTTACCCTGCGGGTGCTATGGACCAAACTCACGTCATCGGCCTGGGTAGGAAAGTTCCTAAGCCCACTGAGCCATCTTGCTGGCCTCCTCTTCAGTGCTTTCTGCAAAGAGATGCACTGTACTAGACAGACAAAGGGAATGCTGGGAATGGGAGCATCAGGAAGGCAGGTGGTGCTGGCAGTGGAGTTCCTGGCCAGCAGGGGGAGACCACTGCTGGGAGTCTGGGTTTGGACATACCTCAGTCAGCAAGAGGCGCTGGGGAAAGGTCCCCGTGCTGTTGGTCGCCAACTCCAAGGGAACAGGTTGGTGTCCACCAAAGTGTGCTTAGTGCAGTCCCTGCCCAACCTCGGTGCCACCTTCTTCCCTGAAGCCGCCTAGACAAGGGCCTGGCCGTGCTGGTGCGAGAGCGTGGGGCAGACCTGGTGGTCATCGAGGGAATGGGCCGTGCCATCCACACCAACTACCACGCACTGCTGCGCTGCGAGAGCCTGAAGCTGGCGGTGGTGAAGAACGCCTGGCTGGCCGAGCGGCTGGGTGGCCAGCTCTTCAGCGTCATCTTCAAGTACGAGGTTCCCACCAAGTGAGACACCCACCCCGCCAGATGTGTCTGCGTATCCCTCTTCAGGAATGTGATTTACTTGGAAGAACCTGTGCTCACACCAGAGTATTGACTGACAGTGTGTGTACCAGGGCCACCCTACCCAGCATTTGTCCTGTGGGACACTAGTGTTGGAATGTATTTAACTGTTAAATAATCTTTTATATATATATATACATATATATATATAAATATATAAATACACATGTATTCACCTGGTGGGAAGCAGCGCCTGGCACAGGAGGTCTCCCAGAGACCAGATCCACTTTCTCTGCGGCCGAGAAGATGCCCACAGCCCCAAGTGGACTATGGCTGCCCCAGCTGACTACCCGAGTCACCTGTAGAGCTAGTCAGTGCTAAACTTCAATCTTGTTGCATCCCCTCCCTGGGTTACCTTCTTGACTCAGAAGGAGCAAACATCAGCACGCCTGTCTGCTGAGCCAGTGCCCACCCCTAATGTTCCTAGGGACAGCACAAGCTACTAAACAGCACTCCTGTCTCAAGAGCTGGAAGAGAGAGCGCTTTGTCGTGGAGGGCCTTCAAGGGCTCTTGGAGGGATCTGGGCAGAGCCCAGCCACCTACATGGGTTTTGTTGCTGTGGCTTTGATTCTGGTCCCCAGGGCTTGGCATCTGTGTGCTATGTGCTGTGAGCTGCCTCAGGTGTACCCAAAGCTCTCAGGCTCCTTCCTTAACTGACACGTCTCCCAGGGATGGATGGGTAAACACATAGCCATGCATGGAGAGTGTGTGGTGGAACCACATAGGTAGGCATGGTTCACAGCACTGCACAGGTACAGGGGTAGGAGCCTTGGGCTCCAGTTCCCAAACAATAGGGCTTTGTTCTTGGTGCCTGAGTCCAACACCAGCTCCACTGGGTCCCTCGTAGTGGGCAGCCGAGAATCACAGCCAGATGCCTATCACCCAGCAGTGTGCCTTTCATAGTGTACCAGCCAGTAAGAAGTGCCTATAGAAATTGAGGTCTAGCCCTCTCACAAATGGGCACCAGGGGGCGGCAGGCACCACACTAAACAACATTCTTGGGTACCGCAGTCAGCAGTCTTTTGTTCGGGGCCCATTTACCCACCTTCCAGCCTAGCCTAGGGGCCTCAAGTCATCACCTTGGGTAGCAGTAGACCCCCATGCCAGGGATCTAATATCAGAAGTCCCCATCTGCAGACTGGGGCATGCTCCCTGGTCCTCAGCTCAGATGAGGAAGCCCTCCCTGCACAGCTGGGTCTTGGAACTGTCCAAACTGGGAAGATGAGGTAGTTCCCAACCCCAGCCCTGGTTTATGGTGGCTACAAGCCCATCCTGGGCAGGGTCACAATGGCCCCCGAGTCTCCCCCATTTGCCTTAGCGGGGGCCCTCAGAAGAGAAGAGGTAAGCAAAAGGTGGTAAGTACTAGGGCTCTGATCATAAGTTGTGTGCATAGCACATCCTTCCCCTGGGGGCCTGCCTGTGTTCCCACCTTAGCTACCTTTATTATTGGGGGGTGGGGGGAACCAGCCTACAGCCACTTATCACATCCACCAATAGTCCCAACCTACAGCTTCCATCCCTTCCTTAGCCAGAGCAAAAAGATCATTCCGTTTCCTCAATGAGACCAGGCCCACAACCCTGCCTTTGCCTGCAGCCCTGTCATACACATGGGGTCTACCCCACTGTGAGACGCTGGTCACCAAGCTGGCACAGCGATTCTTCAGGCTGAGCCCTCTTACTGGCCCCAGCCAGGAAGTCCACCCTCCACGTATTTCTGCTCAAGCCACTGTGGCCACGTGCCTGATATCCAGCAGGTTGAGCAAGCAAGAGGTCTTGCTGGACTCCAGACAAGAAGCTCTCCTCCCTGGCCTTGCCGAGCTCAAACCGTTTGACACAAGCCCTGCCAATGCCAGAACAGTAAGGGCAGAGGAGTCCTCTTCCCCAGAGGCATGCCCTTCCTGGCAGGACTGGGTGGAGCTAGCTACCTCAGTCAACAGAGGGTTTACAGGTCCCAGGAGAACCTAAGGCCTCACCCATAATGGCACCACAAACAGTGCCCCGGGAGATAAGCAGGCCGGGAACCCACAGTGGGGACTTTGGCTGTGGACTTGAGCATGCTCCCTTGAGGGAGGAGTTATCTAGGCCTACCCTGGAAGACTGTCCTCTCTGCCCCATGAGGACAGAGCAGCTACAACAGCCACAAGGGATGAGGTGAGTCACACAGAACAGGCCTGATGCATTTATTGGAGTTGTGTTCCCAAGTTTACACAATTGCTGGGTGGGTTTGTTCAAAACAAGGCTGGTGCACAGCAGAGTAGGGGACAGGGACAAACATCCTAGCAGTTGTGGGTGTGTCACAGGCATTCTGGGGAACAAGCACACAGCAGGTGGGAGTAAACACTCGGCACACACCACAGGCCAGACACCAGGCAGACCAGCGGGAAAGGACGCAGAGTCATTTGATTGTAAGTTTTGGTTCTAAAAAGTTAAATAATCTATTTATATATCTTAAAACGTGGAAACTGCCCAGTAGGACAGGTGGACAATGCTGTTCCTTGCTTCCCAGGATCAGAGACAAGAGGACAGCTAAGGTTGAAGGGGAGGCTACTGGGTGCTCCACAGACAGCGAGTGGGGCATAACAGCTTTGGGGACCCAGTGGCTTCATTTCCTGAGCAAAGGTCGGGTTGAGGCCAGCCCCCCCATCCCTCCTGCAGGCAGTCACAGGGAAGGTAGGGAGTTGGAGTCATCAGGCAGAGTCAAAGCCTGAGCAGCAGCTGGCCGTCAGCAGCACCGCACACCTGCTCAGGGGCTCCCTTGGCAGGCATTGGCACATCCACACAGCCCTCGTGGCCTACAGAACAGGCACCCTCAGGGGTGCCCCTCTCCTCCTCTGGGGGACCCCGTGCATCCAGGCCTCTCAGCCTCTGCTGGCGCTCCTGAGCTTGGCGGGCTCGGCTGGCAATAGCCCGCACGCGGCTCTGGCTGCGAGAGGAGGAACGCCTCAGGAAGCTGGAGCCCCCTACAGACCCATCCCCAGCTGGGCCCAAGCTGGTGGGCGATGTGATGTCCCCAGCCTGCTGGAAGCCGGTGAGCCAGCGAAGCTGCTCCGTGAGAGCGTCCCGCCGCACTTCCGGCTCCAGCCCCTTATGCGCCACACTCAGGGGGCCCAGGCCGTAGCTCAGGCTGCCGGTGCTGCCCTGAAAGCTGGGCGCAAAGTCGTCAGCCGTCAGGTCTCCCAGACTCTTGGACTTAGCAGACACTGAGCAGTCCTGCAGGCCCACCAGGGTGAGGTGATGCCAGGGTGGACGTGGGTGGAGGCTGGTCAGCCGCGGGGCAAGAGGCCGGGGCTGCAGCTCATCGGGTGCAGGAGGCAGCCCACCTGCAACCCGCAGGTTGGGGTTGGATTTGCTCTTGGTCACAGGAGGCAGGTCAGGACGGGCAGCTGAGGCTAAGCAGGGCCGTGGAGTTAGGCGTCCAAGAGAGATCCCTGGAATGCTCTCTCGGCTGCGGCAGAGGCCGAGGCTGGGCAGTGATAGGTCTATGACAGTGTCGTTGGACGACATGCTGGAGGATGAGGAGACACTGTCCCTGTGACTCCCAGGCTCCAGACGCTGCCATAACCTGTCAGTGCCCGTAGCATCCGAGTATACTGCAGGTGTAGGAGAGAGCTCCGAGAGCACCTGGCCCTCACTCTTGGCCCTCCTAACCACTGGCAAGTGGCCCGGAGCCCAGGAGCGGCTCTTGCTGTCTGTCTGTCTTCCAGAGGTCCCCTCACGTGGCCCGCTGGAGGTTCCACCACTGTGTGGCCTGAGGGGTGGCTCTTCATTTTCCCTATCGCCCCCAGTTCTGAGCTGGAGGGTTCCAGAAGCTCCCAGAGATGTCTGCTGGGGTCTGGTCACTTTGGCTCCCAGTCCCACAGAGCGCTGGGGCCCTTCCTGAGATGGACCTGTGGGGACAGCTGCCTGTAACGGGAGGCCAGGGCCCAGGGCTGGTTCCTCAGCAATGGGTTCCAGGCTGCACAGGGGGGAGATGGGCCGCTGCAGGGGGAAGAGGCGAGTATCTGTAGGGAAAGAGGGATGGGGGACAAGAGGCAGAGAGGTAGGGCAAGGGACAGACAGATTAAAGGCAGAAGTGGGGAGAATCAAGAAACAGAGAGGGATGGGAGAGAGAGAGAGAGAGAGAGAGAGAGAGAGAGAGAGAGAGAGAGAGAGAG